AGGAGCAGGAGGAGGTAGGAGGCTGGCCCTGGGCAGGTGCCCACCTGAGCCGCGCTCGCACCGGGCCTCCGAGTGGGGCCAGAAGACAAGGCGCGTTTCCTGTAAAATAAAGCGACCTCGCGCTGCGTAAGCCTCCTGCCCAGAAGCGGGGGGGCTCCTGTCTCACCGGTGCCTGAGGCGAACCCTCTGGCCGTGGGTAAGTGACTTACACCCCAAGTGTAACCGGACAGGAAGGGGTTGCGAATGAGCGTTTGGGAGCTGCTCACAAACCATCTGTTTAAACAGAGAGATTAGTTTACAGCTCAAGTAATTGAGCTTCAAAGATGTTAGCATGGAGTCAACGGCAAAGCGAATGCTTGGCCCGGCAGGTGTGTCTCCATGGTGAGTGTCATCCCATGCACCAACACATCGCCCTTCAATTCCCAGTTGGGGTGCACGATGGGGTGGTGGGCAGGATCCCCAACAGGGGACAGGGGTGAAGCAGGAGGCAGCCAATCCATGTCGATGCATCAATGTTTCTCTCTCTCCCTCTCTCTTCCCCTCTCTCTAAATCTAATTTTTTTAAAAAAAGAAGTAAAAAAAAAAAAGAAAGAAAAAGCTAAAGGAGTTCATCACAACCAAACCAGTATTATATGAAATGCTGAAGAGTTTCTTTAAGAAGAGGAAGAAGGAGGAAAAAGGTAAAGATAAAAAATTATGAACAACAAAGTGACAATTACGTATCTATCAACATGTGAATCTAAAAATCAAATGAATAAAAAATCTGATGAACAGAATAAACTGGTGAATGTAATAGAATCAGGGGCATGGAAATGGAGTGGACTGACAATTCTCAGTGGGAGGGTGGTGTGGGGGTGCAGGAAGAGATTGGACAAAGATCTCATACCTATGTACACGGACAGTGGGGTGGTGAGATCCTGGGGTGGGGTGAGAACCGGTTAGAGGGGGGTTATGGGGGGAAAAAGAGGAACATCCGTAATAATCTGAACAATAAAGATTTTAAAAAAATGTTGGCCATAGGCAGCTGGCACTCTGAGGGACAAAGGCAAAGGCTTGATTTGCCTCTGCCCTGTAACAACTATTTCTCACTAACTCCTTGTAAACCAACCTGAATCCTTATTCTAACTTTACAAATTGCAGCATAAAGTGAGCTCAACTTTTATATCTTGTTTGCACAGACAGAAAAGCCAGGATTTGCATGCTCTTCAAAGAGAAGCACAGACACCGGCAAAGAGCCAGATCCAGATACGAAGCCACACTGGTCCAGGAACAGGTTTCTTGCCACCAAGAGAGGCCACACCACCGTGGCGGGGTACCCATCCTTGCACATATACACATTCCCGTAGGGCACCGGGACCACACTACATGGTGCCTCCTTGGCATGTTTTGGGTGAGACACATTTGTAATGAGGGAGCTGTGTGGTGGGTAACTACGCTTGGTGGTGGTGTACTGTGTTGTGCATTCACATGCACTGACCTTCCACTGTGTGCATGCCTTCAAGATGCACACCTCATTCATTAAATTACTTTCCATAACATGAAGCTTCATTGTGATGTATGGAAAAGCTTCCTTTATCAGAAGTTCAAGTGTGTTCTCCTGGAACTATAGACAGAAATACCTTACTTTAACCAATAGATATCCTGTCTAAAATTATGTGCAAATCAATTTTAAGTGATAAACTCTGTTTTAAACATATTCTGTGAGTGTGCCATGTTAAAAATGTGTCACAACTTGCTAGTGATGTCAGACTATGGTATCTCAGACTTGCTCAGGACGAGGTGTTCCCACATATAGAAAACAATCCATGTATTACCCAAAATTTAATGTTGCATATATTATGTTCAACACAGTTATGTAAGTTTTAAAACCCATTTATTAAAATTATTTCTCTATAACCAGTTGTTTCCATTGATTGGTTAACTGCATAAGCTTTTGTGAACAGGTATTTTAGGTCCCTCACAAGCACCTATGTTGTCAGCATGCTAATATCATGTTCAGAAAGGGTCACAGGTCCTGCCAGGCCTCCCATTTGAATTACTTTCTTCCTATCACATTGGGGTGCAGCCCTATACCTTTTTTCTTTTTCTTTTAAATATATTTTTATTGATTTCAGAGAAGAAGGAAGAGGGAGTGAGAGATAGAAACATCCATGATTCGCTCATCATGGATCAGCTGCCTCTTGCAAGTCCCCCACTGGGGATCGAGCCCACAACCCAGGCATGTGCCCTTGACCGGAATCGAACCTGGGACCTTTCTCACAGGCCGATGCTCTATCCACTTAGCCAAACCGGCTAGGGCCCTATACCTTTTTTCACTTCTCTTATCTATGCTGCTGACTTCTGCTCCCTTTCCTCTGAGATTCTTCCCCAAACTTCATGGGCAACTTCTCTCCTGTACCATAGGAGAATATGGTGGAGCCGCTTGTATCTCCCAACCACCCACTCTTGCCAGAGGCTCTGTACCTCTCAGTGCCCACATGTATCAGTGGGGCAGAGACAGTGGATATTTTGTTGGCACCACCAATATACAAATCTATGACTAAAAGTGCTCTTGCTAAATGATCTCAGACATTGTCTGGTTAGACACTGTTGTTTAGATTATCAATTGTATTGATATCTAAGATTTTCTGGATTTAGTTAGAAGCAACTTATGTTTCTTATCATTCTAAAAGCTACAGTTATATATTATTTTATTTTGTGCCAGGATGGGTAGGCTTATTATATCATTCAATCCTCATAACAGTATGAAGTAGACATTACAATACTAATTTGTCTAAGATTCAAAGAGGTCCTGTGATTTGCCTAAAGTCACACAGTTAATAACTGGTAGAAGATGACTTTGGAGCATTTCCACTGAATTTTAAAGACCAAGCTCCTTCCTGCTCTGTAAACTGCCTCCCCATATCACCTAGCACTGTGCTGAGTACAGGACAATATTAATCAAAACTAACTGTTGTCTTTTATTATACAGTTTTTAAAAAATCTTATCCTGTACCCAATTTCACTTAATGCTCAGTAACCCTGAGAGATAGGTATTAGTGTTACTCTTAAATTTCAATACAAAATCTGAAAACAAAAGAAGAGAAAATGACTTCTGAGTCACTTCTATACAAAAGAAAGCCGGAAAAAGAAAATAAAGTCAGGATCTAATACAAGACGTCTTGGCATTTCATTCTCTGTGCCCCACTTTGTCTCAGGAAGTGTTGTTTGATATAGAACATGTGGGCTGGGGCTGAAGGCGTAAGGACAATGTCTTTTTCTTTTTGCTTCTAAAAGCCTGTACTCTGATGGGCACGACAGTATTTGTTCATTCATGAGCACCTGGGATGTGCCAGGCTCAATATACAATGAAAAAAGGCTGAAAGTTCCTGAACTCAGTTTACATTATAGTGTGAAGACAAACAGATAAATTACAAGGATATGTCCTACAGGACGCTGTGGTAGGAAATAAGGGGGAGGTAAATTTACAGAAAGACCAGAAAAAGCATTTCTGTGAAGCTAGCATTAATTGAATGAATGCATGAATAGCAACCCGAGTTTTTGTTGGCTATTAGATTTTTTTTATGGTTCTAACGGCGAATACCCTTTGGACCTTATGTTGCTGATGCCCAAATGCCAACTGCAGAGGCGAGTCATAACGAAGAATCCTTCCCATTATTTTCTTCTTCTGACCTTGCCTTAGCTGTCAGGGTCACACACACCCCATTGCCACGCCCATTCTTCTGCTTCCGGGCGCTTCCGGCCTGCGCAGGCGCAGGAGAAACTGCCGTTCCTAGTGGAGGGTGCGGATCCTACTACAAAACGCATGCGCCCCAAACCCGTAGGCGCCGCCCAGACCCCTGCGT